TTAAAAAATTACTTACAATGTCATGATTAATTTGAATGGACACAGGGGCCTGAAAAGGAATGTGACGTCACAATAACATTATGCAAAACAAAAGTTTACCAGGCTCAGTGCAATGGCCTAGTAACTAAATCCTCGCCTTGCATGCACCAAGATCCCATATGGGTACTGGATAGTATTCCGGTGGCCTTGCTTCCCATCCAGGTCCCTGCTTGTGGCCTGGGAAAGCAGTAAACAATGGCCCAAAGCCTTGGGACCCTGCACCAGCATGAGAGACCCCGGAGGAGGCTCCTGACTCCTGGCTTTGGATCAGCTGAGCTCCAGCTGTTGAGACCACTTGAGGAGTGAACCAGTGGATGGAAGATCTCTTTCTTTGTATTTCTGGCCCTCTGCAAATATGCCTTTCCAATTTGTTTTTATTGGAAAGGCGGATATACAGAGAGGAGAGACAGAGAGGAAGCTCTTCCGTCCGATGATTCACTCCCCAGGTGAGCGCAACGACCGATGCTATGCCGGTCTGAAGCCAGGAGCCTCTTCTGGGTCTCCCACGCGGGTGCAGGGTCCCAAAGCTTTGGGCCGTCCTCGACTGCTTTCCCAGGCCACAGGCAGGGAGCTGGATGGGAAGCAGGGCCGCTGGGATTAGAACCAGTGTCCATATGGGATCCTGGGTGTGCAAGGCGAGGACCTTAACCACTTGCGCCATCGCGCTGAGCCCTAAAAAAAAAGTTATAATAAAAAAAGTTTTGGGGCCCATCACCATGGCCTAGCAGCTAAAGTCCTCGCCTTGAAAGCACTGATCCCATAAGGGCGCTGGTTCTCATCCTGCTTCCCATCCAGTTCCCTGCTTGTGGCCTGGGAAAACAGTCGAGAACAGCCCAAAGCCTTGGGGACCCTGCACCCATGTGGGAGATCCAGAGGAGGCTCTGGGTTCCTGGCTTCAGACTGGCTCAGCTCTGGCCACTGCGGCCTCTTAGGGACTGAATCATCAGACAGAAGATCTTCCTTTCTGTATATCTGACTCCGCAATAAAAATTTTTAAAAATCTTAAAAAAAAAAAAAAAGTCTTACCAGGTGGAAAAGTTGATCAAGGCTGAGGGAATGGTTTATGCAAATGTTCAGGAAACTACATGTCAATCATTATTTTTGGAAAATGAAATTTTGGAAGGGAAAGAAGTCTGGCATTTAGGTTAGAAAGGGAGATACTGACAACAAAGGCATTCTATTTTCTAGCTAATGGGAAATTTCAGAATTTTGTTTTATTGAGAGATGGGCAAGACAGACAATTCTCAATATGGATTTAATCCCAATATCTACACTGGCTTAGAGTAGGTCAGGCTGAAACCATAAGCCTGGTCTGTTGAATAGGTGGCAGGGACCTAAATGTACACACAAGGGCCGAGATAGGGGGTGGAGTATATTGGGTAGGGGCCAACCTTGTGCTGGTACACGTGAGATCCATGTCTGGGAGTTGGCCTGGTGTGAGAACTTGGGGAACTCCCCTAATAGGCTGTAGTCTTGCTGGTGAGCATGTGAGTCAGTGCTGGGTGTGGGCCAGGTGGGGCAAGGTTGTTACACCTGTCAACAGGTGTATGGGCAGGTCTAGAAGTGGGTAGCATACTAGGCCAAGCCATAGCACATGCTGGCATGCACAGGAGCAGCACAGGGGCAAGTTGCTGCACTCACTGGTGAAACTTGGGACTCAGGCCAGGGATAGAACTGATCAGGCAACTGCAATTACCACTATGTGTATCTGCTAATGTGGGTGACAGACTGAACCTGACCCTGAACTAACTGGAGTAAGTCAGGTCTGGGGTCACCCTGAATGAGGTTTCTTGGGAGACTTCAACTGATACTGAATGAGAAGACAGCATCTGTTTTTAATTTTTTTTTTAAGATTTATTTATTTTTATTGCCAAGTCAGATGTACAGAGAGGAGAGACAAAGAGGAAGATGTTCCGTCTGATGGTTCATTCCCCAAATGGCAACGGCTGGAGCTGAGCCAATCTGAAGCCAGGAGCCAGGAGCCTCCACCGGGTCTCTCAAGGGGGTGCAGGGTCCCAAAGCTTTGGGTTGTCCTCAACTGCTTTCCCAGGCCACAAGCAGGGAGCTGGATGGGAAGCAGAACTGCCGGGATTAGAACCGGCGCTCATATGGGATCCCAACATATGCAAGGTGAGGACTTGAGCAGCTACGTTATTGCACCAGGCCCTGTTTTTCATTCTTGAAGGCAAGCTGGCCATGGGGTAACAATAACTAAGGAACAGGAACAGATGTAGCTGACGAGTGGAGACAGGGAACACAGAGTCTAACTCTAGCTCCAGATTTGCTGCCGTATATTTATCAAGTCTCATCTCTGGGCCTCATTTCTCCATGACTCTTCTGCAAGCACACTCCTCAAACTTGTAGCAACACGGATGCATTGTAGTCCACTGAGAGGCATAAGAGTTATTGTGAGTGCCATTTTTTAAAGGTTTATTTTTATTAGAAAGGCAGATGTATGGAGAGAAGGAGAGACAGAGAGAAAGATCTTCTATCTGCTGGTTTACTCCCTAAATGGCTGCAATGGTCAGAGCTGAGAAGATCTAAAGCCAGGAGCCAGGAGCTTCTTCCAGGTCTACCACATGGGTGTGAGTTCCCAAGCTCTTAGACCATCCTCTGCTGCTTTCCCAGGTCACAAGCAGGGAACTGGATGGGAAGCAGAGTAGCTGGGACACAAACTGGTCCTCTATAGGATGCTGGTGCTTGGAGATAGAAGGATTAATAAATTAGACCATTGTCAGTACCATATTTAGAGTCACACTTTCTATAAAAATAATTTTGCAATTCTGCATTTTTAAGACACAAGGTTACTGAAATTGCTATTAAGTATTTCTGAAGCCTAGAAATAATTCTAGGATTCAAAAAAGAATCTTTTCTTTCTTTTAGATTATGAAGCATTCCTGCAAGGAAACTGGCTGGGGGAAAAATGGATAATTTGTTGCCAAATATGTATATTACTTGTTTGGAAGATAGAGAAACACAAATTTTCCATCCACTGGCTCACTCCTGGAACGGATGTAAAGACCAGGGATGAGGCCAGATTAAACTAGGAGTAAGGAGCTGCTTCTGGGTCTCTCATATGAATTCAGGGGCCCAAGGACTTGTGATACCCTCTGTTCCCTTCCATGGCTCATTAGCAGGTAGCTAGATAGCAAGAGGAACAGCTGAAACAAAATCATTGTCCATATATAATGTCAGCATCACGGGAGCAGCTTAACCCAATATACCACAACACTGGCCCAGAATATACTATTTTTTCAATTACAAATTTCACTGCTCTTTAACCATGTTTTGAAAGTTAAGAAACAAAAACATTTGAGTTTTGCAGAATAAGAGTAATAAGTTAACAAAATAAATGTAATCAGATTTCTGATATTTTCTTTTCAGTCTGTTTATTTGCACTGGTGAGTATCCCAAGCAGCCCAGGATATTTTCAACACATGGTAAAAATTCACTAAATATTTGCTGCTGATTAGTTGTGTAAGAAACTTATCCTTAAATGATCTCATTGACAAGAGCTGAGTCAATAAAAGCAAGAGCCAGGAGCTTCCTCTGGGTCTCCCACATAGGTGTGGGTACCAAGGCTTTGGGCCATATTAAGCAGAGAGGTAGATAGAAAATGGAACAGGGCCGCGGCATGGCCTCGTGGCTAAAGTCCTCACCTTGAATGCACCGGGATCGCTTATGGGCACTGGTTCTAATCCCGGTAGCCTCACTTCCTATCCAGCTCCCTGCTTGTGGCCTGGGAAAGCAGTCGAGGATGGCCCAATGTTTTTGGGATCCTGCACCCATGTGGGAGACCTGGAGGAAGTTCCTGGCTCCTGGCTCCAGACTGGCACAGTACCAGCCATTGCACTCACTTGGGGAGTCAATCCTGGGATGGATGATCTTCCTCTCTGTCTCTCCTCCTCTCTGTATATTTCTCTTTGTAATAAAAATAAATCTTTAAAAAAGAAAAGTGGAGCAGCCAGGACACACACCACTTTAATCCGGGCAGCCCCGTTTCCCATTTGGCCTTTGGTACCCTGTACCTGTGTGGGAAACCTGGAAGAGCTCCTGGCTTCAGATTGGCTCAGCTCTGGCTGTTGTGGTCTCTCCTCCTCGCTCTATGTATGTATCTGACTTTCCGATAAAAATAAAATAAATCTTAAAAAAAAAAAAAAAAGAAAAGAAAAAGAAATGGGTAGGCTTCTGACCTAGAGGCTAAGCCACTGACTGGGATGCCTGTATCATGCAATGGAGTTCCTGGTTGAATCCCAGTTCCTCTTAATAACATGCACCCTGGGAGAAAGTAGGCGATGGCTGAAGTGCCTGGACCCTTGCCTCCTATCTGGGAGATCTGATCAAGCTCCCAGGTTCCAGCTTCAGCCTTGGCTTGGTCCTGGCTGTGAAAGCAAGACATCTGAGTAAGAAGCCAATAGATGAGAGCCCTGTCTTAACATTTAGTTCTCTTCCTTTCAAATAATCTTTGAAAACACAAATAAACAAACGTAGGAGGACATTGTGACCCTAGAAGGTGAGAGCACAGAATTACAGCTGATTGGATAATATTTGCATGAGAACAATCAAATGGCTACCTTTTTTATACCTGATTGGATACCATTTGTATAAGAACAGTTGAGTGGACAGCATGTGTATGACAACACTTGGTGGAATATACAAGTCAAAAGGAGCTCCAAACTAAAGCATAGAAACAGTTGAAGGGTTTTGTTGATAAGCTCAATACATCCTCCCTTATCCCATATGACTCTCAGTGTATAAAGTCTGATATGACTAGTAAAACTTCCAGCTTTGACCATCAGTCAGAATCCACATGTGTTATAATTGGCTCCGAAAACCAAGTCCATTGCTGCAGGACGGCACGGCGACAAACAAACAAGTGGTATGTCACAAAAAGAACAAATGCCAACACCATATGAATAGTGGAAAACCTGCACTGCCCAGTATACTGTGCTGATACTCACTGTATCTGCAGCCGTGAGATTGATGCCCAGTCCTCCAGCTCGTGTACTTAACAGGAACACAAATATATCATTCCTGCAGCAGAGAGAAGCACAGGGTAAGAGGAAGAATGGAACACAGCACACAAATCTCTGGACAAAGGTGTTCTCTTGCTAAACTCTGGCAATGTGCAGTCAGACTGTAGCAGTCCTTTACTATTTGACGAGGAGTACAAATACAGACCTATGGTAAAAATATAACAGAACTGTGTTATGTGGAAGCAGAGATGTCTCTCCACGTAGCAGCCATTATTTAATTTAATAAGTTTATTTTATTATTGATGATGACCACATAGTTGAGATAGATGTATGTCCATGTTAAGCCAGTCTCCTTGCAGAAATGCTTCATTGATTAGAGGGCAAATGGTCAAGAAATAGGGGGAAATGAATAAGACAATTGCTTCCAATTTGTTTTTCTTCCTGGGGGGATGGGTAGAGGGCTGCACCAAGCAGCCTAAGCCTATCAGGTCCAGGAATGAGGGACAGCTTCATCCTAGGATCTCTGATGTGCAGCATCTTCTGAGGGTACTGCTTAAGTGCTGTGGTTTTGATAGTTCTGAGATGCTGTCATTGTTATCATGTGAAACCATTCATGATTCACAGAGAAGGGACAAATCAATCATTTTTTTCTGTTACTATCCCTAAGAACCATGACTTCTAGTAGTTCAGGAAATAAGCCATAGGAAAACAACGTGAGAAGGGCTGTCACTGTGATACAGCAAGTGAAATCGCCCCTTGAGATGCCGGTATTCCACAGGTAACGACCAATGTAGTCCCAACTGTTCTATGTTAATGTGCCTGGAAAAGCAGTGGGGGATGCCTGAAGTGCTTGGGCCCCTGCCACCCAGATGTGAGACCCTGATGGAGTTCTAGATTCCTGATTTTGGCCTGGCCTAGCACTAGTTGATGCAATTTGGGGTGTGAACCAGCAGATAAAAAAAATCTTGTCTCTATTCTCTGCTTGTGAAACAAATAAAATTTATTTATATTTATTTATTTACACACAGATTTTACTGGAAAAGCAGATTTACAGAGAAGGAGAGACAACAATCTTTCATCTGCTCTTTCTTTTTTTAAAGAGCTATTTATTTTTATTGGAAAGGCAGATATATAAAGAGGAACAGAGACAGAGAGAAAGATCTTCTGTCCAATGGTTCACTCCCCAAGAGGCAGCAACAGCTGGAGCTGAGCTGATCCGAAGCCAGGAGGCAGGAGCTCTTCTGGGTCACTCATGCGGGTGCAGGGTCCCAAGGCTTTTGGGCCATCTTTGACTGCTTTCCCAGGCCACAAGCTGGATGGGAAGTGGGGCTGCCGGGATTAGAACCGGCGCCCATATGGGATCCTGGGCGTTCAAGGCGAAGACTTTAACCGCTACACTATTGCGCCGGGCCCTCATCTGCTGTTTCACGCCTCAAGCAGACACATGGAATTGAGCTAATCTGAAGCCAGGAGCCAGGAACAACTTCTGAGTCTCCCAGACAGTTGCAGAGTTCCAAACACTTGATCCATCCTCCACTGCTTTCCCAGGCCACAAGCAGGGAGTTGGATGGTAACTGGAGCAGCTGGACATTCATTGGTGCCCATATGGGATACCAGTGCTTAGAGGTGGAGGATCAACCAATTGGGCCATTACCCTGGGTCCAACAAATATATTTTTTAGTGATATGAGGTAGGTATTAAAACCCAGACCATGATTTCTACCTACTAAATTGATCAGTCCATGAGACAGGCTGGGATTAAAGTGCTCTAGAATGAATGCCAAAATGATCTTAAGAAGTTTTCTCTGCTTCCACTTTTTCCTAAGTCCTTATAAAGAATCAGAAATACAAATAAACATAAGGTTCATTATCATTAATGGCAAAAATATTAACTTAGTGTTAATTTTTAATAAAGAAAAGATTTTATTTGATAGCCAGAATGAGGGGAGGGGTTAAAGACAGAGCTCTTCTACTTGCTGGTTCACTACCCAAATGGATACAATGGGTAGATCTTGGCCAGGCTGAAGCCAGGAGTCATGTGGGTGGGAGGACCTCAAGTCCTTGGCTCATCCTCTACTATTTTCCCAGGCTCATCAACAGGGAGTTAGGCCACAGGTGGAGCAGCATGACCTCAAACTAGTGCTCATAGGGTATGCTGAAAGTGTCGGCAGTGGCTTAGATGGCAGCATTTTCTTTTTTTTTAATAAAGATTTATTTTTATTATTTTTTTATTGGAAAGGCGGATATACAGAGAGGAGAGACAGAGAGGAAGCTCTTCCGTCCGATGATTCACTTCCCAAGTGAGCGCAACGGCCGATACTATGCCGATCCGAAGCCAGGAGCCTCTTCTGGGTCTCCCACGCGGGTGCAGGGTCCCAAAGCTTTGGGCCGTCCTCGACTGCTTTCCCAGGCCACAGGCAGGGAGCTGGAAGGGAAGCGGGGCTGCCGGGATAGAACCGGCGCCCATATGGGATCCCGGGCGTGCAAGGCGAGGACCTTAACCACTTGCGCCACCGCGCCAGGCCATTGGCAGCATTTTCAATGCCAGCCCCATCACTCGGTATCTTTCTAGGAACAAAACTCATGCCAGATTATAAAAGGAGGATACTGAACAAAAGACAACCCTGAGCACACAGAGACAGAAGCTCAGTGTTAACTCAGTTCTTGCAGATAATCAATATATCTTAATATAATTTTACATTTTCACGTTCCTGCCACCCTTCACTGTTTTGTTCAATATATATGAGTGAGGGAATGGGGCTGCATTATTTTGGTGTGACTGCATAGTTCTCTAAATCAGACTGTTCACTCCTTTTATGTCTGTAAGTAAGACTAAAAGTAGAAATACTTCTAGAGCAATGTTAGCTTGCAGGATAGAGCTATCATTTGTAACATCTATCCTTGGTCATATAATCAGTTTGATGGATCTGGACGGAAATAAATAATTAGAAGGAGCAGATAAGGGGCTGCAACGTCAGCATAAACACTTTTTAAAAAGAAAAAGAGATCTTCTATCTGTTGGTTTATTTCCTAAATGGCCAAAAATGGCTAGAGCTGAGCTGTTACAAAGCCAGGCTTCTTCCAGGTCTCCCATAGGAGTACAGGGTCCAGTCTCAAGCATTTGGGCTTTGTCTCCTCCAGTGCTTTTTCAAGCCCACTGGAAGACAGATGCCCCAGAAGTGGAGCAGCTGGAACATGAGTAGATGCTCATAGGGATGCTGGTGCCCCAGGAGGAGGTGTAACCTACTATGCTAAGGCATCTGCTCGTAAACTAAAAAAAAAAAAAAAAAAAAAAAAAAAAAAAAAAATCGAATGCATCAAAGGTTATAAAGCATAAAGCTTTAGATGAATTTTAGTCTGTGGGTTTCAATAATTAAAAAATAAAACTCTGAAACACACAGTCATCAGGATGCTTTTATTCCTTTAGGCTATTCTTTCTTTTAAAGTCACTTGACCACTCAAAGTCTGTTTCCTGGACTGTAAAACCAGTATGCTATGAATACCAATGAGGTGACTAACTGATGACGTAGCAACATGAAATGTTAGTATCAGTAAAGGAACAATTGTGAAATGAACATCTTTATGAATCACTCAACTGGGTAGGTCGTAGTGGAAAACTGCCAATTATTTGCAGTCAATTAAACATAACTTTCCTAGAAGCAGGTCTGAATAACAATGTCTAGAGGCCTCTTGTAAGTCATGATCCCAAAATGTTTGTACTACCAACAAATTCTGGTTTACCCCTGATATTTTAAAATTTTATTTTATTATTATTTTTAAAAGATTTATTTATTTATTGGAAAGTCAGATATACAGAGAGGAACAGAGACAGAGAGGAAAATCTTCTGTTCACTGATTCACTCCCCAAGTGAGCGCAACGGCCGATGCTATGCCGATCCAAAGCCGGGAACCAGGAACCTCTTCTGGGTCTCCCACACGAGTACAGGGTCCCAAGGCTTTGGGCCGTCCTCAACTGCTTTCCCAGGCCACAGCAGGGAGCTGGATGGGAAGTGGAGCTGCCGGGATTAGAACTGGCACTATATGGGATCCCGGCACTTTCAAGGCGAGGACTTTAGACGCTAGGCCACGCAGCCAGGCCCGATTTTTTTTTTTATTTTAAAAAGATTTATTTATTTTTTATTGGAAAGAAAGATATACAGTAAGGAGACAGAGAAGAATATCTTTTGTTCACTGATTCACTCTTCAAATGACCACACTGGCTGGAGCTGAGCTAATCCTATGATAGGAATTAGGAGCTTCTTCCAGGTTTCCCATGCAGGTGCAGGGTCCCAAGGCTTTGGGCCATACTTGACTACTTTCCCAGGCCACAGCAGGGAGCTGGATGGGAAGCAGGGCTGCCAGGACACAAAACAGAACCCATATAGGATGGGATCCCAGCATGTGCAAGGTGAGGACTTTAGCCACTAGACTACCGTGCCCGGGCCCTATCCTTAACTTTTATCATGAAATTTAATACTTCATAGTTAACTAGATTTACAAGGTAGCCTTTTTTATCCAACCATACAGCATAAATCATAAAGTTCCAAAGGGGGGCCAGTTCGTATTCTGGCAGCCCCACTTCCCATCCAGCTCCATGCCCATGTGTCCTTGTTTCAGATCAGCTCAGCTTTGACTGTCGCAGCCTCTTGGGGGTGAGCCAGAGGATGGAAGATTTTTTTTTCTCTGTCTCTGTTGTCTATAAATGACTTCCCAATAATAATAATAATAGCAATAATAACAGATATTCTATAAAAAAGTCACAAATATGAAGGATATATAGCAAAACATGATTAAAAAGAATACAAGAAAAATAAATCAGCAGGAAAATTTTGAAACTTGCTATAAAGTAATTCTTTTGTATGTTAATTATGTAGTGAAAAGATGCCTTCTCATAAAGAACATGACTATTTGGCCAAAATCACAGAAAATTATAGAAATCTTATTTATTATTGAAATCCAACTTGTTATCATCAAATAAATTAGTTTCTAGCCTACCACTTGATTATTTGTAAACAAAAACATAGATTACAAAATGCTAAGGAGTTTCTTTCTACTCCATAGATGTAGTGCTAATCAAATGAATAAAAATTTTGGAAACGAAACAGAAGAGCGAAACACTCCAAAGATAACAAAGACAACATGGTGGTTTGGGGGCCCTCTAGGGGACAGAGAATGAATCCTCAACTCAGGTTCCGTCAGACCAGGCTTCTGGGTGGTGTGTCCTGGGAAACCAAATAGCCAATACACATGTAGGTTTCATTCGTGTATGAGAGCACTGTGGTCTGTCTATACCAAACACTCAAAAACAGTGCCTGGGATGCACTGATTACAGCAAGAGAAAGGCTGCATGGATGAAAAATAATGAAAAAGCAACAAAGCTCTCAAGACAAGCTCACACGGTAGCCAGCCACCTTCTCTCATGCTTCCAGAGGGTGGTCACATTGTTAGGGTGCGCAAGGGGTCCACTGGCTCAAGGTCACAGGGCAGGAGGAAGGGAAGCCAAGACCAGGGAACTACAGAGCACAGCGCTGCCTCCAGGATCACGCCGGGGTCACATGGTCTCACTGCTGTGCAGCCAGGACATCCTGACCAAACAGTCTTTAGTCTCAGTCAGACATTTTCCTGGAAGGATCCCTCATAAATAAATCCCGTATGAAGGGAATGTAAATGGCTTTTTATAGGAGTTCTTGTTTACTCTCATTGACCTTTGAACCACAGGGCTTTCTAGCTGAAACTATTTTTTTCCCCTTTTATGTCTTATCATTAAAAATAATGAAAATATTTGGCAGGGCATCCTTTTTTGTTTTCAAAAACACCTGTTCTCTTTGGTGCTAATGCAGCCACTCAGCAGACAGGTTGATTATTTAGTCCTCAATTTAGGGGCCAGCTTGTAAGCACAAGGCACAGGTTCAGTTTCCATACATGAGAACATTTTTAAAAAGTTATATTTATTTATATTTTGTTGCTCATTTATATTTGAAAGGAAGTTACAGAGAGAGGAGACACAGAGAGGCAGAGCTTCCATCCACTGGTTCACTTCCCAGATGGCTGTAATAGCTAGAACTGGGCTGGTTCAAAGCCACGAGTTTTTTCTACTCTGCCATGTGAGTACAAGGTCTCAAGGCATTGGGCCATCCTCTGCTACTTTCCCAGGCCCCAAACAGGGAGTCAGATAGGAAGTAGAACAGCTGGAACTCAAACTGGTGCCACAGGCAAAGGCTTAACTTGACAAGCCACAGCACTGCAGAATATTTCTTAACCATATTGCCACTCTAAGCATTTAGCCTGTAAAGCAGGTAGGGATCAATATATTTCAATTTTGTTTCTCCTTTTCATAACATTTGATACAAAGTGATATAATCTCGACTCCAAATAAATTTAATGCTCTCTGGGTATCTCTCCATTGTAAGGTCTGGAGGCTCCAGTTAAAATCCTTAGTACATGCTATATACATGGTCAGATTTCTACTAAGCAAACAGGTACAATTTCACGGTGAAAATACCATTCCTTTAAATTTTGCAAACCTATTGTGTTACCAGGATTGTCCAAATAACCCTTGTAAATTGATTAAAATATTTTAGAGATACATCCATATATCCCCTCCCTCATTGGAAAACCTATTATTTTAATTAGATTATCTCTTAAAAAAAAAGAGAAAGATTTATTTATTTGAGAGCGAACATTACATAGAATGAGACAGTGAGAAATCTTTCATTTGCTAGCTGGCTCCCCAGATGGCTACCAATGCACAGGCTGGGACAAGTCAAAGCCAAGAGCTTAAAACTCTGGATCTCCCATGTGTCTCCAGGGGACTAAGGACTGGACTATTTTCTACTTCTCTAGGAAGGTTAGCAGAGAGCTGGAGTCTAAGGGATGGGGTATTGCAAGTGGCTTCTGATCTAGGGAAGAACGCTAACAGTGGAGTTCCACAGACCTGTTGCAGCAGCATTTGGTTTTCTCTCCCTGGAGAGAATAGTAATTAGACCCTGCTTACCATGAGAACAAGCACTCAGGATAATTATGGTTCTGCAAGCCCGCAGCACCCAGCAGACAGCATTGGAAATTTCACAGGCTCATTAGCAGGTGGGAGAGGCACTGTGCCAGGAGCTACCATTTAACTAGAGGCTGATTACAGCAGTTTGTCATACTCTACTATCCTGTAACATGCTGAAGGAAAGCGAGAAAAAGGCAGACATTTTCCCCAAACACAGATGTAAACCAAAACCCATTTTAAGTCAATACCCCAAGATGGCAACTGTTACCCACTGAGCAGAGATCTTGGTTCAGGTTCAGAAAAAGTTTCCTCTAATGTCTACAGAAGAGGTGCCAACTTGCAAGAAAGTAGATTTTAACACAAAAATTGCCAAGTATTTTCATGCATTCATTCATTCTGACACATCTGCAGACCTGAAGCATGATACGCCTATAGCAACCTCTTAAAATGGTAGCAACTATCACATGACTCTAAACATAAAAACACAAAAAACAAAACCAAACAAAAAACCAACCTCACCATTTCAAGAACTAGAAGAGAAAGAAGAATTTTTATAATTTGCATTAACATTACCTGTTCTGAAAGTCAGCAACCATGTCTCGCCTCTCTGAGATCTTGGATGAGCCATCAAGCCTCATGTAGGTATGCTTTCTGTAAACCATATATTCCTGCCAATCAGGGATAGAAAGACATTAAGTTCGATGCACATGGCTGTATTCTAATTCTCAAAAGCATCTACCACCTTCTACCTTACCACATTGGAGGCAATTCATTATGCCCAGAATGAAATGGGGAGAGAATAATCCCAACAGTCTGGACAGTTCTCCCATTAGCTACTTCCCATGTAACAACATCAGTGGGAATCTGAGATTGTAACTCCCCTCAATTTCAGCTTATGTATTAGAAAGGCAGAGCTACACACAGCGTGCATATACATTTTCACATATATAGAGATCTTCCATTTGTTGGTTACTAACTCAAATGATCCCAATTGGGTGGGGCTGTGCCAGGCCAAAGCCCAGGAGCCTCTTTCAGATCTTCCACTAAGGGTGAAGGGAGCTAAACTAGAAGCGGAGTAGCTGGGACTTAAACATGAGGTGTCCAAATGGGATGTCAATGTCCCAGGCAGATTCTCAAGGAGCTATTTCACAACACTTACCCCACCAAGAAAGCTTACATACAGTAAACCATCTCTGATTTAGACTGCAATACAACATAAGTTTCCTGAATAGACGCCTTTATCTTTTAAAAAACAGAACTTTTAACCTCAAGAGATCACTAGTGAATGAATCCTCCTATAAATCTTTGTTGTTCAGATCCTTATTTATTTATTTTTATTGCAAAGGTGGATACACAGAGGAGAGACAGAAAGATCTTCTGTCTGATGGTTCACTCCCCAAGCGGCCTCAATGGCTGGAGCTGAACCAATACCAAGCCAGGAGGAGCTAGGAGCTCTTCCAGGTTTCCCATGCGGGTGCAGGGTCCCAAGGCTTTGGGCCATCCTTGACTGCTTTCCCAGGCCACGAGCAGAGACCTGGATGGGAAGTGGAGCTGCTGGGATTAGAACCGGTGCCCATATGGGATCCCGGCGTGTTCAAGGCGAGGCCTTTAACCACCACTAGGCCACGGCGCCCAGCCCTGCTATTACTTTAAACCTTAACTCTCCTACTCAGGGGAAGAGTGGATTTCAGACAGCAACAAATGAACTTTTTGAGTCGATCACAGTAAAAGGCTTCAAAGTGACAAGTAAATGTACATGGGAAAAAAAATGCCTCAAAAACTAAACAAGGGGACCCAGAGTGATAGCCTAGTGGTTAAAGTCCTTGCCTTGCTTGCCCTGGGATCCCATAAGGTCACCGGTTCTAATACCGGCAGTCCTGCTTCCCTTCCAGCTTCCTGCCTGTGGCCCGGGAAAGCAGTCGAGGACGGCCCAAAGCTTTGGGACCCTGCACCCACGTGGGAAACCTGGAAGAGGATCCTGGCGTCAGATCGGCATAGCATCAGCCGTTGCGCTCACTTGGAGATTGAATCATCGGACGGAAGATCTTCCTCTCTGTCTCTGCTCCTCTTCTCTGTATATCTGACTTTGTAATAAAAATAAATAAAATTTAAAAAAAAAGACAGACGTATAATATCTAATCATAATAATCCAAATGTTTTACTGATATATATCTTACAAATTAAAAAAATGGCATGGGGAGAGTCAGTACTGTGGTGCAGGAAGTTATCAACTACCTGTAGTGACAGCATATCCTGAGTGTTGGTTCAAGGCTCCACTGCTCCACTTTCAAGTTAGCTCTTTTCCAAGAAGCCTGGGAAAGCGGCAGAACATGGCCCAGATATTAGACCTCTGCTACTTACCCGGGAGGCCTGGATGGAATTCTGGACTCATGGCTTCAGCCTGGCCCAGCTTCAGCCAATGTGAATACTTAGGGTGCGAGCCAGTGTAGGGCAGGTCCCTGTGTCTTTTTCCCTCTCTGTAATACTTCCTTTAAAATAAACCTTTTCGGGCTCAGCTCAATAGCGTAGCAGGTACAATCCTTGCCTTGAATGAGCTGGGATCCCATATAGGCACCAGTTCTAATGCTGGCGGCCCTGCATTCCATCCAGCTCCCTGCCTGTGGCCTGGGAAAGCAGTCAAGGATGGCCAAAAGTTCTGGGGCCCTGAACCCACTTGGGAGATCCAGAGGAAGCTCCTGGCTTTGGATTGGCTTATCTCCAACCATACCGGCCACTTGGGGAGATCTTCCTCTCTGTCTCTTCTCCTCTGTGTATCTGACTTTCCAATAAATAAATAAATCTTTTTTTAAAAAAGTGATCATAACGGCCGGTGCTTTTTTTAAAAAAAAGCTTTATTTATTTATTGGAAAGGCAGATATACAGAGAGGAGGAAAGACAGAGATTAAGATCTTCCGTCCGATGGTTCACTCCCCTAGTGAACGCAACAGCTGATGCTATGCCGATCCGAAGCCAGGATCCAGGAACTTTCTTCCGTGTCTCCCACATGGGTGCAGGGTCCCAAAGCTTTGGGCCATCCTCAACTGCTTTCCCAGGCCACGAGCAGGGAGCTGATGGGAAGTGGAGCTGCTGAGATTAGAACCGGCGCCCATATGGGATCCTGGCGCGTTTAAGGCGAGGACTTTAGCCACGGCGCCGCGCCCTATTTATTTTTTATTTCAAAGTCGGATATACAGAGAAGAAGAGGAGAGACAGAGACGAAGATCTTCCATGCAGTGATTCACTCCCTAAGTGATCATAACGGCCGGTGCTGTGCCAATTTGAAGCCAGGAGCCAGGAGCTTCTTCCAGGTCTCCCACGCGGTGCAGGAGCCCAAGACTTTGGGCCATCCTCAACTGCTCTCCCAGGCCACAAGTAAGGAGCTGGATGGGAAGTGGAGTTGCCAGTATCAGAACCGGCGCCCATGTGGGATCCCAATCCTGGCCCTCGGGCCAGGACTTTAGCTGCTAGGCCACAGCGCCAGGCTTACATCATTGACTTTTATCTGTGACAAAATGAAATGAAAATTTCTGGTGCTGGTAATTTTATCCCCTACCCAGAAACCCTATTTTGTGCCACATGAAAGGTTGAAACTTCTCAATGAAGAGTTCTCTTTGGAAAAAGAACTGAAATTTACACAAAAGTAAAAGTAAAGCCAGATTTTTACCTAAGAGAAGGAGGTGGCTATTCATCAGTTTACAAAATACTGAACAAGTACTAAGTACCCCAAACCAGTTCTTCTCACAGAATGAGAAATCATGTCTTCTAATTGTGCTGAGTCCCTAGGAACAGAAACACAGCCAGGCACAGGACACAACAACAATAACAACCACAAAATCAAAAGGCTGTAGGATGAGATGCTGACTCTGAACAACTACACAGCACAACCTGTCGCGCCCACGTTCCTTATTGTCCGGTGATAAGAGGCAGACGCGAGTGAAGTCTTCTGCGGTAATCTTTATTGCATGCACCAAGATGAGGAGGGAAAAGGCTCCGACCCTGGCAGGCTGTCTGCTCTTATGTACTGACTGGCCCCGCCTCCGCCGATGATAGGTCGGCGTCATGATTACGCAGGGTCCTGGGAAACTGGATTCGTCAGTCCCAGTGTTCATGCGCCGGCCACGCCTCAGCTCACTGCACAGGCGAAAGCTACGTCACCAGGAACCAAGGTGTGGCTTTTCCGGCCGGCGCCATTTTGGGTACGGCATGTGGCCAGATGCGGCTGGCAACAACAACCTAAATGCTCTTATGTGAGGATTTTTTTTTTAACTATTTCTTAAAGATTTCTCTTTTCCTCTTTATGCAGGGTACATGGTATCAAAGGAAAAAATACACTTGTGAAAAGAAAAAAATAACTAACATTTTGGCAACAAAGAAGCAAGGCAAGGGCCAAGGTGTTTTTATGAAAGTGAAGGTCACATGGACCTAAAGAAAGCACCTGTGCAGGACACTTCTCTAACACGGTCCTTGGGGCTCACACACACACACACACACACACACACACACACACACACACGATGGTGTTTTTAAGGCAATAACATGCTGTAATTGCATGTTTATACTGAAAACCTCCATTATAAAATTGACTAAACATACTCTTTGAAAGACAAATTCTTTCTATTTGAGGATTACAATTTGGTTCATTTAAGTAAGATAAAAAAAAATGGAACTTACAGAATATTTTCAAGAAATACCAGTGTTAAGGGAGCTACATAACAGCTTCATTTGTTTTTGAAACATGGCCAGATGTAACATCTTCTGGCTCCAGCTTCCTAGTTATATGTTAAACATACGCTGAAGGAATGTCAGCAGTCATGAAATTAAGGCTTGGAATTTGTTTGTTCCTCATGCATTCTTGTCTGCAAGCCCACCGTCTGGCAAGCCCATGCTCAGATGCTGGACTGCATATGCACAGGCAGTGACCCTGTGAGGAGGGCTGAGGGTACTCATTCTGAGCACAACTCTTTAAAATATCACAGTTTTACTTGTTTTAGTAACTTTTAATGAGCACAGAATGAAAGACTAAAAGGCAAGGCTGTATCAATTTTTAACCATCTACAACTACCTGCACCTACCAGAATTAGCTTATTTTTTGTTATTCACTAATTTCCTTGAAATTTCCCTTAAGAATCAAGGATGTTAAGGATTATAACATGCTGATACAGCCCTGTAAAAGACCTTTACTACTTTTATGAAATCCTTAGCCTACTACTTTGGCTAAAATAATTGGCAGTGGGCCTGAAGCGGTAGCATAGCAGCTAAAATCCTTATGCTGGTTCGTGTCCTGACAGTCCTGATTCCCACCCCAGCTCCCTGTTTGTGGCCTGGGAAAGCAGCTCAGGATGGCCCAAAGTCTTGGAACCCTGTACCCACATGGGAGACCTGTAATTAGCAGCAAGAATTACCAATTAATCTATACTTGTGACAAGATAAATGTACACACACACACACATATGAAAAGTTAGCCATATGATTTTGCTGTTGCATTACCTTGATTGAAGACAGCATGAGAGGTATAGATACTCCTTTTATTTTGGATTATTGCTTTTAGGACCTTCAATGTCGTCAATTTCCATGAGCTTAACCACTTGTCCAGTGGTAAATAAGTTAGTTGTAAGTATTTACAAGTAGATGACATACAAAAATATAGGCCAGAAAGTTTGTCCTACTGACAATACTCAAAGGGGTAAAAACCAAATACTGCTACTCTACAAAGTAGTAGGACTAGAAAACAAAGCCTTACATGTGAGAATCCAAGAAAAAAACTAGCCTCTGGATGTTTTTCTTACAGACACATCTTAGTAGTCTCTGATTATACGTTCTTATTTTATCCTCCTGTTTCTATGTCCATGACTTGTTCTTCTTCAAATAATAAGACTCTAAGACAAGTAGAGAAAATCTCAACATAGAACTAATTAAAGAAACAAAACCTGTCCTAAACAGTAAGACAGCTATATCTTTCACCATAAAATCCATTGGTTATCATCCTTTTTGCATACCAGAATACCTCAGAAGGTTTTATGTAGCCTGATACCCAGGCCTCATTCTAAACTTACCAACAATTCGTAGAGATGGAGGCAGATATCATTTTTGTTTTGTTTTATTTAAGGTATGTTTACTTATTTGAAAGGCAATGGAGGAATGAAGATCTTCCATTTATTTTTACTTCCCAGATGGCTTGATGACTTTAACAGTCAGAGCAAGTCAAAGCTAGGTCACAAATCCGACAACCCAATCTAGGTTTCCCACATGGGTGACAGGGCCCAAGTACTTCAGTCATCCTCTGCTATTCCCAGGCAAAGCACACCAGGGAGGTGGATCAAAAGGGAGCAGGTGGTACTTGAACTAATGCTCCAACATGTGATGCCAGCACCACAGGCCAATACTCAAATTTGCTGCAACACAATGCCAGCCACTCCCCACACACATTAGTATGTTTTAAACTTTCCCAGTGATTGTAATATGTAGAGAATGATTATATTAAGTCAGACCGAATTCCTGCTCTTTGGTTTTTAGCACACAAAGCTAATCACAGATTCTGTTTCCCTTATACAATTTCAGTGGACCTTTCAAAATTCCTAGTTAATAAGGAATGTTCTATTCCATTGGTAATGGGAAGGTGAGAATTAAATCCTTGGCATATTTTCCATCTGCAAAGACTGTAAAATCACAAAAAGGTTTTTTTGGGAGATTCGCACTAAACAGGGCTGACATTTGTCACGGACACCTGATTCCTACAAGTTAAATGCCAAGGTGTTCTAGATTCCAAAGGATCCTTCTCCTACCTCCAGCAGGTCTATCATCCTGGTCATCTGGGAGTAGATAAGGACCCTATGTCCTTGAGACTTCAGCCGAGTCAGGAGGACATCAAGGGCATACAGCTTTCCACTGTCAGTGATGAGGCTCTCCTTGCCTGGGGAGAAGAAAAGGGGTGGGGGTGGGAGGAAACTTTTAATTGAAGCAACACAATCACTCACTGCAAAGCTGTATGCAGCCAAAATTACTACACCCAGGACGCCTGTCATCATGACAGCAGGAAAGTGCTCCAGAGGAAAAATGAACGCCTAACCACAGGAGTGCTCTAGGAAGATGATCCTAACGGGAGGTGGGCCTACTCTGACATCTGCTGTGAGCTCAGGGACAGCCTCCCTGCCCCACCAGGTGCAGGCAGCCATCTCAGTGAGGCTGCATCTCAGTTAACAATGATTTTTTTTTTTGGGGGTCATGGTGGGGCAATAGTAGGGTTGTCCATCCTATCTCTAGTTATATCTGTTTCTGCCAGTTGTGGGTTTAATGTTTCTGTCCTGAAAGTATGAAAATGGACAGAAATAAGGGCTGTGCCTGCCTTGAAGAAACATAAATACCAAGAAACAGAAATAAAACACACCCTTTAGCCTTTTTCCCCTATATTTTACACCAGAGCTTTCTTTGGTAATTTCAAATAGTTTGTTTGGTCAAGGTCATAAGCCCAAGTTGTAATTCAATAAAGATACCACCAGGGCTCGTTGACGTTTCTTGACGTTTCTGTGAAACGAAGTTGTGTTACTCACTAACTTAGGTTTTCTCCTTCCTCTTCCCATAACCAAAGCATTTCAGCCAGAGATCTTTAAAGAACATTTAACTCACAAAATTTCATCTTATCCATTCAGTATCATTCAATTCCCATCATATTTCAGGAAGGAGAGTTTCCTGTTTGTAGACTGGTCCATAAACAGGCCCTGAACAATTGCTCCCATTAAGAGGGAAGAGATGTGGCTAAAGAGGTCAGGAACAGTCAGTGTGGAAGGGGCTGAGGAACCCAGAAAGGGAGAGACACCCTACAGAGATATCACACAGACAACTAACATTTGAAAGGATGAAAATCTGTTAGGAAAACACATTGTTTGGTTTTCCTGTTATAATCCTTATGTTTCCCTGAGACCCTGAGAACTGGAAAGGCAGTTTGTTCAGAGTAATCCAAAAGTTCTCAATCGTCATTTCTCTGCTCTCACCACTATTTGCCAAGTGCACAATTCTTGTATAAACCCAAGGAGAACGGATGTGCTGACAGCACCATAACAAATCATCACTCGTTGTTTTGCTACAAAGCCTCAGGTCCTGGATGTTTACTCGTCAGCACCGCAGCCTGCCTTCTCCCACCTTCGGAACGCTGCCAGGCCCCAGTGTTCCTTCCAACCCCCCCTCCCCCCATGCAGTAGCGCACACCTTTGTTCAGCCTCTTTGTTTGGTCCTGTTTAGATTATTGAAATGCTCCTCTTTTTGTTGGTCTCCTTACCAACACAATCACATGACTGCAGCTGGGACAGAAACAACTGCTAAGCCCTCTCCCTGGCACCAGAGAAGGAGGCCTGTATAAGTCTAATCAGGCAGCCAGGCTCTCATAACAACTTTCAGGTTCTCTTGTCATAATTACCCTTCTCTTTTCATTGCACTGCCTGGGGCCTCCAGATTTCTACAGCTTCTAAACCTGTTCCACAGAGCTATCAATCAGCTTCAGTTATTATATTTCTTTGTATTCTCATGCAAAGCACAGGAAAGTGGAAAAAAAAAAAAAACCTAAATATTTTTCAGCAACAGAGAGTAGGCAAGCCATGCTCCTCAGGTTTGGCAGCTTGCTTATCTATTCTCTCCAGCTAGATGTGCTCTGTGAGCACAAGTACTAAAGCATATACAAATCTGTTTTGTGCCTGAATTTTGATTTATTTAAAAATCATGATTCAATGGTTCTCACACATTCCTACTTTACACAACTATTTTGCTTTGCTAACCAAAATAACAGACACTAGGATTAGAAAGATGTGCATCCTTGGGAAATCTAACATGCCCAAAGGAGGCAGAAATGGAGCTAGTTGTCAGCTTGTCACTGTGTTGGTGTGAGAGGTGGAAGTGGATGAGTTAGATGTCTTAAGATTATTCTGAAGGCAAAGCTGAGAGAAGGAAACAGCGTTCAGCAATGAGCACTATTTCTGAATGCCTGGTGAGCATGCTCGACAGAGGCAAGCAGCCTCTGGTGTTTGCCCGACCCTGTTTGTTCCCTATTCACTGTGCTAAGGGTAACTACTAGGTTTGTCTCTCTGTACAGATTGTTGTCTTCTAGCCTGGCACTCACATTACAATTTTTGGAAGTTACTGAAGGTGTATTTGACAAAGAGTACCACCTGTTAGTAAGCCAGGAGAAACACAATTCCCTAGAAATCAAGCTGATTCTGCCACGTGAAACAGTGCCCAGGTCCTTCTTTGAATAGCAGCTCAGCAAATGCTGAGAGCTGTTCTCTCCTAATCTTTCCTGTGATTGGATTCTACGGTACATTCTTATGGTATTTTCACTTGGTACAGATTATTACTGTCCACAAAATATATCCTAGTCAGAAACAAAACAAAAAGAGGGTAGCAGCAATGGCAAATACAATTAAATTAACAGATTAATTAATTTTCTCCCTTTTGCAAAGACAGGAGCTTCTTAAAAGGAGTATAACTTTGTGCTCAAACATGGAGAAGCAATCTAGATTCTGAAGCCCAGGGGATTTTGGTTTCACACTTCTGAAGAATGTAAATGGAACCAACCCTTCCCAGGGAAGCAGAAAATGAAAAAGTATAGAGGAAAGAGATAAAATACAGGTTCCAGTGACTCCCCTACCCCACTGCCCTGCCCCAGCTAGTCTACAGAGCACAATGGGGTCAGAGAGGAGCTGGTTGGTTCTCACAGTAAACAGCCAGTGAGGTTGGTGCTTTTTATCGATGCAAAAAGAACTCAGACACTTCCTGCTATTTAAACAAGGTCCATTTTTCTTTCAAAGAACAGGAAAAGCCACAAGAGATTCCCACAGCGCCAGCAATAAGCCTTCTAACTCCTGTACTGGGAACATAGGAACCAGAATAAAGACAGGAGGAAGAAGAAATAGGTGCTATCTATCTAACTTCTTCCAATACTTCTGCTCACCATTCACCTGGGATTGTGTGGTTTCCAGACCAGCCAACTTTATCCTTTAGATTCTTCTCCTGATTTTCAAACAATATACTTTTATCCTTTGCTTTTTTGTATACTAAAGCAGTAACAAAGGTATATATTGTAACTGTTTTTAAAAAGGCAGCTTCTAGTTCAAGGGACTCACCAAGCTGCTAATAACCTAATACAAAACCTCCTGACCCTTGTAAAGTTAACACTGGTAGAAAAAACAAGCATTCAACCCTGAAATCCAGTTGTCTTTCATAACTTATATATATATAAAACTGAATTTATATATTCAGTTAACTGTTCAGCCAAATAGATACATATAATTAAGACATCAGAAAAATCTAGACAGCCAGAACTAATAGTAGCTCTAAGCTACCACTTTAATTCGCTAGCAGGTGTAATAAACAATAGGAGAGTATGTACTTTCCAAGTTCAATTTCCTTAAAAGTAATCCTATTGAGTCAAAGATGCAAACCCAGCGTATTTTTAAAAACCAACCTTGACCCAAGGGGGTCTGGGAATCTATTAGTGTTCTGGCACAAAGCACTGTTTTTCCTCTTATCATTTAGATCTCTAGTGCTTCGTGCAGGACACTGTTTATGAAATTAAAACTAGGCTTTCTGTGAATGACGACATTCTCATTCATTTCATTGGCAATGGCACAAGACAGCTGTAATCACTCAACCAGGATCCTTTCCGACCAAAGTACCAAACTATCTCTAACTTAAACAAATACATTTTTTTTCAGAAAAAAAGCTTCCTTTTTTTAACCGTCAAAAGAAAATGTTTAAGCACAAATGTAAAAACATTTATATCACCACAAAAATCACAAATTGATAGGTATTTTCACCTATGAGTTCCCTTGCCAAAGTTGGGAATGTGTTATAAGAGAATGGGGAACTCACCTGGAATCCTGATGAAAGACCAGCCATTCTGAGGCCTAATGCTTAAGAGTCCTCCAGCTGGCTCCGGGAAGAACTGGGATCGTCGATTTAGCCAGTCAGCAGCCAGTTCAGGGGCCCCATTCAACAAACACTGCTTGGCAGCCAGACTGCCTCCTTCCTTCAAAACTCGCCGCTCGTATTCTGCACTTCGGTCATTGCAGTAAGAATCCAATGGCACTGCGGTGACCTGTATTGAGAATCACAGGAGATGGCTCTTGCACATTTTCTACATTAAAACCTTTTGGAACCTCAATTTGGAAATCAAACTGAGAAGTTAATTTTTAGGTTAATGGTATTAAATACCCTGGTTCTGATGAACTAAGCTGTCCCTTGTGACCAATTTATAGATAAAAGGCCAACCTCATACAGCACAAGCTTGTAAACAATTCAAGATCCAGAGACAGCAAGAGTATTTACTAAAGCAGGATGCCATCAGTATCAGGATGCATGTGTGCACACGTGTACATGCCAAAGTCCTATCAATTGCTGCCTCCCCTCAGTGCTGGGCACCGTTCTTCTGTTAGTGAGAGCTAAGTGTGATGACAGAGAAGGAGCTGGAGCTAGTCAGTCAGCATGAAAGAACTAAAGAATACTGGCACAGCATATCTGATGTTATCTTTAATGCTTCTGTTGCACAGTTCATGGGCTTATCAATATTTTCCCCTTGTTCCTCATCATGCTGCTGACTGACAAACCTAATGGATGATAAGACAGGTTTTCTTTCATGCTATAAACGGGAAGGAGGAATGGGAAGGACCAGGATGAGAGAAGCAACTGGCGGAGAATAGCAGATTCATTTCCTGACTAGGACTGAGGCTATGCACAAATTCTTATCTCATCACGAGGGAAACGCAACACAAAGATACTCCTTTCCCAAAGTAGAAGGCTTTTATTAATGCACAGGTTTTACCCCTTCTCAGTTTTCTGGGACTATCGCCACTCTAACAAGCAATGCTACTGAGATAGATATGGAGTCATCTGATAAAGAACAATTAAAAATGACAGGCTAATTTCTTTCTCACAATATGGGACTAGGGTAATTGCCAAGCCCATGTTGATAAAAATGCTAAAAGCCTATTATAAACAATACATTTCTCAGACAGTTGGACTTAAAGATGGGGAAAAACTGGATATAGGAGACAGTACAGTAGAGATGAGACTATAAAGCACTGACTGTACCTAGATATTTTCACTTCTTCTCAGAAATCAGGCACTTAAAAATCTGCACCTCACTACTGACTTCTCCGTTTTGCACCAATCTGTCTTTACATCAACGGTTGTCAAGGTTTTTTATTTATTCATTTATTTTTAGATTTGAGATTATTGGACCTGGTGTAGTAACCTAGTGGCTAAAGTCTTCACCTTTTATGCGCTGGGATCCTAGGTGGGAGCCAGTTTGCGTCATGGTGGCCTGGCTCCCATTCAGTTCCTTACTTGTAGTCTAGGAAAGCAGTCGATCTAGTTATTTATTTTATTAGAAAGGCAGATATACAGAGAGAAGGAGATACAAAGAGAAAGATCTGTCTGTGCACTGGTTCGCTCCCTAAGTGGCTGCAACGGCTGGAACTGAGAGCCAGGAACCTATTCTGGGTCTCCCATGCTGTTTCCCTGTCCCAAGTTTCTGAGCCATGCTCTACTGCTTTCCCAGACTATAAGAAGGGAGCTGGATAGGAAGCGCAGCAGCCGGGATTAGAACCAGTGCCCATATGGGATCCTGGCAGTGTGTGCAAGGTGAGGACTTTAGCAGCTAGGATACCATACCAGGTCTAGCTGCCAAGTTTTGAGATGTCTAAGTACCTCTCTGGGAATGGATAAAATAAAATAAAATAAAATAAAATAAAATAAAATAACATAACATAACATAAAATAAAATAACATAAAATAAAATAAAATAAAATAAAATAAAATAACAGACACTGATCTAGAAGTTCTAAAGAAGGTGTTAATAGATCTTGGTGGTTTTTTGTTACTGTTGTTTTTAATTCTGACATATTTGTTTGAGAAGGAGAAAAAAATACTCTTGTTCATTGGTTCACCCCCCAAATCCCTATTCTGGCTGCCAAAGCTTACTGCCAGGAACTCAATACAGGTCTCTCATACGGGTGTTAGGAACCTACACATTTGAGCCATCATCCATGCCATCATCCATGCCTCACCAGTTTTGAATTATCAGCTGAAGGTGGGACCAGAGCCTGAAACCTAGGTGAAACCTAGGTGTTCTGAATCATATGCTGAGTGTCTATCATCTTATATAGGCTAAATTTTTGTCCCCTACATTTTAGTTTCTAATAAGCTTCACTAAGCCAACTCGTGAAAACACTGCTTTGAAACACATAAACAGCAAGCTAGCCAACCATGGGGCTGCAGGTGCCTCTTTGAAAAAACAGAGAGTACTAAAAGAAAGTGAAAGAGTATCATTTACCAATAACTAGAGAACACACTCTGGCTTGCAGATGGAGCTGAACTAAATTTGCAAGAGAGCAGTGCCATCTATCGTCCAGATGCAAAACTACAGAGGCTGAGAGCAAAGGACGTGGACTTTTAAAACCCGCCAATGGCTCAGCACAGAGTTCTTTCTAGGTGCTCTTACTTTCACATCTTTCAAAAGGAATTTCCATGTTTCCAACTTAGTGGCAGGTATTCGTTTGGCTTAGAAATCAAGATGTCTTTGTTTCCACATAAGAGTAGCCTAGGCTTGTTACCTATTCCAGCTTCATGCCAATACAGACCCTCTGAATCAGTTGTGATGGCTCAAGCAACTTGGATCACATCAGAAACGTGCAAGACAAGGACTGTGCTTCCAGGTCCCAGCTCATCCTTCCCTTCCCATTTTTGCCTCTCAAGCAGACAAAAAAAAAAATTTATATTTTTGCTTTTTTTTCAATTATTATTTTTTAAATCTGAAAAGCAGAATGGGAGGGAAAGAGGGGAGAGAGAGAGGGAGAGAGAGAGAATGAATGAATGAATGAGATATCTTTCATCTGTTGTTTCACTCCCTAAATGGTTGCAACAGATGGGAGTGAGGCCAGGAGTCAGGAACTTCTTCCAGGTCTCCCATGCAGGTACAGGATCCCATGCTCTGGGTCATCTTTTTTTTTTTTTCCTTCCTTCCTTATTTATTTTTTTAATTGGAAAGTCAGATACACAGAGGAAGATCTTCTGTCTGTTGATTCACTCCCTAAGTGGCCAAAACTGCCAGAACTGAGCCAATCTGAAGCCAGGAGCCAGAGGCTCCATCTGGGTCTCCCACGTGGGTGCAGGCTCCCAAGGTTTTAGAACATCCTCAACTGCTTTCCCAGGCCACAAGCAGGGAGCTGGATGGGAAGTGGGGTCACTGGTATTAGAACTGGCACTCATAAGGATCCCAGGGCATGGAACTTGAGGACTTGAGCCGCTTGGTGACCACGCCGGGCCTAGGTCATTTTCTACTGCCTTTCCAGGCCATTAGCAGAGAGCTGGATGGGAAGTGGAGCAGCCAGGACATGAGCTGATGCCTATATGGGATCCTGGCATGCACAAGGCAAGGATTTAGCCACTTAGCAATCACATCAGGCCTCTATTTTTATTTTTAAGATCCAACTATTTGAAACGCAGATTACACAGAGATAGGAAGAGACAGAGAGATACAGATCATCTATCCACTGGTTCACTTCCCAAATGGCTGTACTGGTCAGGCTGAAGCCAAAGGCTGGAACTCTTTTCAGATCTCCCATGTGAGTGCATAGGCCCAAGAACTTGGGGCATTTTTGTCTGTTGGAGCAGCTAACTTGAATGCATGGTCACACATGTTTTAAAATAAATCCCAGTTTCCAAGTCAGCTCCCATCTTCCACAGGGTCCAACCACTCTGTCAACCCCCAAAGGCCTTCCTGACTGCTCTGGGCAGCGGGACAAATGGAAATGCATCTTCCTGCTAGTCCTACTTGAACTAACCCCTCTCTTGCTTCATTAACCTTCTAGACCTCAGGACCCTCAGGGGCTGCCACAAGTGCTCTGTGCATCCTTCCTGGGAACATGCCTGTTCCTGTTCCAGCTGAAGAAACTCAACTGCTCCAAACACTTCAGACTTTCAGTAATATGAACTTCTAGGGAATTAGTTTATCAGGGTCCTCTAATGATAAAACAGTACCTGTAATCCTTTCTTTTTCCACCTAATGGTTAACATTCTTTAAGATCCCCCATCTTGATGCTGGACTGTGTACCATTGTACATGCCCACAATCCAGATGGATTTGTTACTGTTTATGAAAAGCTATACTACTGTATTAATATAGGGAAAATCAGTGGGAGAATTTTGGGGGAGGGGAGAAGGGAAATCCCCAAACCTATGGAAATGTATCATAAAGTAATAATTAAAAAAAAAAAAAGATCCCCCATCTCAAATGGAGGTACAGGCAGCTAGGAGACAGAAAGAGACATCTGCTTGAAGACCTTGCACTGACTAAAGGCTTTGACCACATGCTAGAAGGCTCCCTCTGAGGCACAGTATTCTCGAACCAATGTTTGGGCTTCTTTTTTCCAGGATCATTTCTTCCCTGTAAACAGTATATAGTATATCTACCCAACTGGACTCAGCTGCTATTGGTGGTTCCAAAGAGGGTGATACTGGCAAAGGCATTCTCCCTCAGCTTATCCAACCACTAGAACATTCAAGTTATGAGGGTTAAACTCATGAGGGTCTGTGTTAGGTCTTCAAATGTTACTCAGACAACCACAGGAACCAGCATCCTGGTCAAAGTGCTCCCCCAAACACAGCCCCCCACTGGAGTATCCATGTCAGAGTACTTGTGCTGACATCCACCCAACACAAAGGTATTCTTGGACAGGTGAGTAAAGGGATCCTGTGCTTTGGATTCTGTAGCCAGTGCCTGCTCCCATTCATCCATCTCTTCTCGGGAGCTGGGGCAGCTGCTTCTCTTCCTGTGGACCCTTCTACTTCTGTGCAATGTCCTTTAGGGGTGGATTTCTGCAAACTTTTTAGCATCAACCAGGCCATCTTCTCACAGTTTTACTTCCAACAGCTCAGAACAGGGCTGCTTAATACAGGTGAAGAATCAGCAGCTGATTTGGGGGAAAATCCTGGAGCAAAGTAGCCTCTTTATAGAGCCACAACATGGTGCTGATAACTGTGATGCCAACCAGTTTTATTCACTCACCCACCAGAAAAAGTCTCATCTTCAAGTAAGCATCAGGCAGTAGTAGCATTCACCTCCTCTGCTCCATTGCATTCTCAGTGGCCTGTTTGTCATGATGCCCAAAGGTGTGGGGGAACCCAAGTACTATGCCATCTTTGGCAAAGTTTGACCACTGTACAACCTAAACTGCTTCTTCTGAGGTTACTTCCCCACTGTTCCTCATTACTCACACAACAACCAGTAATAGTGCTCTCAAAACACAAAAAAGCCTCCAGGGCCAAGGACAATGGCTCAGTGGCTAAATCTTTGCCTAGTATGCACCAGGATCCCATATGGGCATCAGTTTGTATCCTGGATACTCCACTTTCTATCCAGCTCACCCTGGAAAAGTAATAGAGGACGGCCCAAAGCCTTGGCATCCTGCATTCATGCTGGAGACCCTGACGAAACCTCTGGCACCTGGTTTTGGATCAGATCAGCTCTGGCTGTTGCAGCCACTTCGGGACTGAACCAGTGGACAAAAGATCTTTTCCCCTGGCTCTCCTTCACTCTGTAAACCTGCCTTTTAAATAAAAATAAAGCTTTTTTTGTTCTCTACTTTTGTTACAAATTGGACAGTCAGATTCTCTCTCTCTCTCTCTCTCTCTCTCTCTCTCTCTCTCTCTCTCTCTCTCTCTCTCTCTCTCTCCCCCATCATCTCAAAATGCTGGCCAGCAAAGAATTTGTAGGGGAATTTAGTTGGTCTGGCCAACCTGGAAGCGAGACAGTGTGTATAGCACACAGACCTGACCTTAAGGTCCATCTAGTTTTCAGAAGACATATACAGGGTGCCAACATTGGCAGCGATTCCACTGAGAAAGCAGTGTAATTCCTGAGCACCACACTTCTTCCTAACCTGATCCTACAGCTTTCACAGCATGTGCCAGGGAAACTAATTTGTGTGAACTCAAGATCAGAGGCTAAGGTTTCAAAACAAATCACCATTTCTCTCCAGACAATAGCCTGTTTAGAAATCAAAAAACAACTAAGGTTTCTCAGGGAAAACAGCCTTATTCATACAACAGATAGATATCAAAGGTGAGAGTTGTGTGTGAAGGAATATTCAAACAGATTTAATTTTTTTTCCTATCTACCTACTCATGGTGTAATAACATTCATTCTCATGTTTTACACATTTTATGGAAGGAGATGGGCTAAGAAAGAAAGGAAAGTGTTGAGGACCAGCCTGTCAGTCACAAGATAAACTCTTTTGGGACTGGCACAATGATCTAGTGGTTATACTCTCCCCTCGCAACTGCCAGGATCCCATATGGGTGTCGGTTCATGTCCTGGTTACTCTACTTCCCATCCAGCTCCCATCTTGTGCCCTAGGAAAGCAGCAGAGGATGGCCCAAAGCCTTGGGACCCTGCACCTGAGTGGGAGATCCAGAAAAACTCCTGTCTTTAGATCAGTTCAGCTCTGGCCATTGTGGTTAGTTGGGGAACAAACCAGCAGTCTCTTTTTCTATATATCTGCCTTTCCAATAAAAATAAATTAAAAAAAAAGATAAATTATTTCTCCAACTCCCTGCTTACCACATGTTTATAGATACTATCGTCTTCCTCCAATGGTACCACGTTTGCTAAGGAAATAGCTGTATGAGGCACGGGAGCAGAGGCTCACTGCTCCTCTGAAAACAATGCTAAGGACAAGCAATGGCAGATATGCACAAGTGTTGGGTACATGGAGCTTTTTTGTTTTGTTTTGTTTTACATGGAGCTTTTCTTAACCAGTCTTTGCTACAGAGATGTTGAGAACTCCTGCATAGTAACAAAGAAAGAAATGTTTAGGTCCACAAATAAAATTACAGGGCAAGCTAGTTCACTTTTCATCAGCTTCGTTAGACACTGGGAAAATGGAAATAAATAAGGTCTTAACAGCCTCTTTCAGAAAACTAAACTTTCACTAGTTAGGACTCTCAGTGTACACCAGGCATATTAAAAATAAGAATGAAACCAACCATGCAACTTTGAAACCTCAAGGTTACCTTCTAAAGAAGCACTTGGCTTTAGATGCTTCCTAGATAAAAGTTTATTTCCCTGTATCAACTTGCACTTCCAAGACCAAGAAGCCTTCTAAGGACAGGATGCAAACAAAACACAAACACCTTTGAAACAGCCACTACAAATCAGTCTTCATATAGCATATCATCAGCTAAAAGAAATCTAGGAAGGTAGGAGACAATGGAACCTAATTTTTATTCAACATCTTTCTTTGGAGCCTCTGCCAGATGCTATCTGTTGGTAAGTCTAGTAACATAAGGATGCAGTTTAACAAAAACACCAGGGAAAAAAAAAAGTAAGCTTCTTAAAGTTCCCTGGCAAACCATGAGCTATTGCTTAAAGCAAAAGGGAAATGACAGCTAGAAAGACAAATTAGTTCTCTGCTCTAACCCCAGTGTCTGGCCAAATCTCTACTCTGCTTCTCCTTTCACATACTTCTTAATGGATGCAACAGAGAGCTTTTGTCTAGCTTTAATCAACAAGGATGAGGAAGGGGCGGGGGTATAAGATGTAAAACAAAACAAGGATGCAAAGTAAACAATCCTAGTGTGCCAATGGGCGCCTTTGCTGCTCTGCTTGTAGGCAACTGCAGTAGTGTTCTGCTTTGATAAACAGGGTATCAGGAAGGATCCAGACAGATGCTCAACATTGAAATTGCAATTTAAACTATCCCCACTCTGCAAATAATAGTTACAACTGCTGAATGGCAACTACAAGCTGATAGCTATTTTTTAGATGGACAGAATAGTGAACCATGGTCCAGGTGGCTTATGAAAGTCAAGAATAACCAGACGCAAATATTTCTTGATGCTAAGGTTTTAGGTTTCCCTGCGCCACATTGTGACTTCAATTATGAAAACCTTCAAAAACCCTAACACAGATGACATGGCTCCACTGTCCCTTGACTCTGCTGGAAGTCAATCTATGAGACATATGGCTTGCTCCATAAGTCACAGTAATTCACAGTCTCTGACTAAATGAGAGGAAAAGTTACTCATCATACAACACAATTCAAGGTGAGGAAATGTTCTCTTGGGAAGGTCATGAACATGGAAGCCTTTGTTTTTACATAGTTGAATATACGTGGTTTCTAAAATCCAAATAGCTTAACACACTAGCGTAAAAAAACAAAAACAAAAACAAACACACACACACACAATTCTTTGAAAGCTATTTTTGCATTATCATCTACTTCATCTCTCCCCTTCCATGGTACTTACTCGTGGACTGGCCACACACAAAAAAGATGGCAGCTCAGTGAGCAGGCAGCAACGAAGAGAGGAGGTAGCTGATCTTCGCTGATGGATGACCTGGTCGGAGTAACCACTCACTGCTTTACAGTGGCTACTGAAAACAAGTGACTACAAAACAAAACCACACATTAATGTCAATGACAATTATGTTGAATATAAGCCAAACAAAAAAAAGTCACTGTTAAGAATCTGAAAGCTGCTCCTCTAGTGAGTATTTTTTTAAATGAACAATTAAACATGATTAGAACTATATAGTATCGTTGAGACCTGTGGAAATCTTTGAATTAAAAAAAGTGATGACCAACAATGCTTTCTTTAAAATTTTTCTTATTCTTTTATTATTATTATTTTAAGGCTTAAATTGCCTTAAAGAAAAACCATATAGATGGGTATGGCTGATATACCAGCCTCTTTTGAGTCTTGTGTAGAACTTGAACAGGGCTGACCACCGAACACCAATCCATGAAAAAGCGAAGGCTTGGGGTTTGTCTAGCAAGACCATATCCTATTACCCGACATAATGATGGATCAGGAGACAGGTCACATTAGGCAGGGCCATAACATTAACTAGCACACGAGAGAATCCTATCCAGGGGTAGATTCTATGGGGGATGTGTGGGCCCAACCCTGTGCAAATACTAGTCCCAATGGTTAGCTCAGGAGTTGGGGTGGTAAAGGATTAGGTGTGACCAAGGAGCCTGCCATCACTCACCAGTAAAGAAACTGACAACAGTCTGGATTGGTCAAGGCAGCAGCACCCATATGTGCATCTTGAATAGAGGGTGGGATGGGTCAGGATGCAACGTTCACCAGTTCAAACAAGGCCAAACGGAAGGCTAGACTATGCTGGACACTGGCCTAAAACCTACTGGCATGTATGAGAACTGGGTCTGGGAGTGGGTCAAGTGGAGAAACTTGGGTAACTCCCTTGGTGGGTCACAGCTCCCGCTGGTGAACACATGAACCAGACCTGGGGATCGGACAAGCTGGGCAAAGTAGCTCTAATGGCTGGCTAATGTGTGGGTTGGTAATGGAATGGGGTGGACTGGGCAGGACCAAGCACACCTTAGCCCACAAGCAATATTAGAAATCAGCACAGAGCACAGGTCATGCCGAGCTAGGCTCTTACACCGACTGGTCTGCATAAGCTAGGGACACTAGGCCACAGCACCTAAGGCAAAGGCCAAGACAAGTGAAGGGCTATGCCAACCTGAGTCAGAGCAACCACTGGCATGCACATGATCTATGGCTGGAAACAGGCCAGGTTGGGGAGCTAAGGGGACACCCTAGCTGGGTTGTTACCACCGAGGATCATGGGGGATGGACTGGGGACTAAGTTCTGATCTGGATATGGCTGTAGTCTCCCTTGGTACAACTGTGGACTGGGACTGGACGTACCAAGCTGGGCCAGACTCCAACACCATCTGGTGCTCTGGAGGACCAGGGCAGATGTGGGATGGACTAGGCTAGATCTCAGCCCCTACTGAGCCATGTGTGAGCCATATGTGGGTATGGACGAGCCATTGCTGGGCTGAAACATCCAACAGTAAGAACCAGGTTGGGCTGAAGACCAGCAAAGAAAGGCCACTGTTCCTACTAGGACAGGAGGTGAACTCAGTAGGGCTGGCTCATGGACTCACTGGGATGCGCGAAATCTGGCATTGGGAAAGGTTCTGATGGAGGAACCTTGGCAACTCCTCTGGCAGGACACAGTCCCTGCAGAAAAGCGCAAGAAGCATTATAGGAAACAGTCCAGACCAGGCCAGGGAAAGTTACCCACTGGCACATATTTGGCACAGGTCTGGGGCAGACCAGGCTGAACCAGTTTACATCACCCACTGGCAAATTCGAGCACCAGAACAGAGTGTAGGTGGAACCAGGTTTGGTTGTGACAAAAACTAATGCACATTATGGAATACCAAGGTGAGGTGGGCCGTACCGGATGTGGCTGCAGTGCCCAACCAGCACACACGAAAACCAGGGAGGGAGGGGGCGCAGATGGCAGGGGGAATTATGAGGGCTCCCTTGCTGGACAACCATTTCCACTGGAGAGCATGGGTTGGGATGAGGGCAGACCAGGATAGGCAGGGCTACAACAACTGTGGACCTCATGTGAACTAGATCAGGGAAAAGCCAAGCTCAGCTGACTGTTCCGACTGGTGCAAGCAGAAATTGGAGTGGGTGAGGGATGTTTGGGCTTTGCCGCAGTGTCAGCTGGCAGAGGCTGGTACTGAAGGTTAATTCTGTCAAGCTGAATCCCAAAACCACCTGGAGAGTGCATAATCCAGGAGGGGTCTGGAAGGGAAATAGTGGGCTCCTCCCTCCTAGGTTACCTTTCCTACCGGAGAGCATGAAAACCAGGACAGGGGCAGGGGTGGCTATACAGAAAGGCACCTGCCAACATGTGTGTGGACTGGATAGTGGAGCTGGTATGGTTGAACTAGGCTTCAATGCCCATCAATATGTATGAGAGCTGAATCGGATGTGGGACAGACTAGACTAGTCTGCTGCACATACTGGCAATCATGGGAACCAGGGCAGAGGGTAGGCCTGGTGGAGGTTATTGTGGGTCGCTCCAACTAGGCTGCAGCTCCCATGGTTTGCGTGAGGGATGAGTATGAAGTGGGCAGGATCAGGCTGGACTGCAATGCCCATTGCTCCAGTGAAAGACAGGGCTGGAGACAGAACCAACCCAGCAATTGCAACCACCAGCTGATTGGGGCAATGGACTACGCCAGGCCCTGTACTTGCCAAGTACACACAAGAATCTGGCCTGGGATCACCTCAGACAAAGTTTCTTTGGGGATCTCCCCAATAGAAATGCCGGACTCAGAACCCTAACCATGAAAAGAAGAACAAATCAACTACCCCAGCCATATGTTGGGAGTGAAAAACTGAGCAAACAAGAGACTCTAAGATGTACTATGTCAATCAGTGGATTCTTAAACTACTTCATCGTGGTTGGAATGGCGAGACTGACAACAATTCATAACTGTTGAACTATCAAAAACCACTTTAGCAAGACCCTCAGAGTATGCTCCACATCAGGGACTTGGGATGGGTGAGAGACTGGGTGGGGCTTTCCCCACTACCTCCCCGCTTACCCCAGATACAGGAAAAAAAAATATGGAAATAATAGTCTTATCCACTTTCCTGTAGCCCTTGAACCTTTGTGTCCTAATTAACTATGTAAAGATTGTCAAAAATAAAGAAAAAAAAGGAAATTAATATAAAAAAAAAAGAAAAAGAAAAACCATGTAGGCCAACAAAGAGAAGTGTATTTCTATTAAGGGTAGTGGTTTAATTTATGTGGATATAATACACAAGTTGTTGGGCTCGGCGTGATGGCGCAGTGGTTAAGGTCCTCGCCCTGCTTGCCCTGGGATCCCATAAGGTCACCGGTTCTAATACCAGCGGTCCTGCTTCCCTTCCAGCTCCCTGCCTGTGGCCCGGGAAAGCAGTTGAGGACGGCCCAAAGCTTTGGGACCCTGCACCCGCGTGGGAGACCTGGAAGAGGCTCCTGGCGTCGGATCGGCATAGCATCGGCCGTTGTGCTCACTTGGGGAGTGAATCATCGGACAGAAAATCTTCCTCTGTGTCTCTCCTCTCTGTATATCTGCCTTTCCAATAAAAAAATTTTTTAAAAAATCTTAAAAAAAAATACACAAGTTGTAAGGAAACCAAAACATCTATTATTTTTCTCTTATTAAACATCAAATTTACAAATATATGCTTTTCAGGCAATGGTTCATGGAATTAGGTCCTTGTCACTCATGTTAGAGACTTGTGATGAATTTTCAGTCTGGCCTAAGAACAAGTGGCATTAGAAGAATAAGCCAGCACTTGGGACTATATATATTATCTGTCTCTCCTAGCAAAACAAAAATGAAAAACAATTTTAAAATTTATTCGGTTTGCAATTATTCTTGTTGCTAAAATGGGGCAGGGGAGACTGCATTATGGCACAGGTTAAAGTTGCTGCCTTCAATGCTGGCATCTTATGAAGCTTCTCCACTTCCTATCCAAGTCCCTGTCCAGGGAATATAGCAGAAGAAGGTCCACATATGCAGGATCTTACCACCCATGTGCTAGACCCAGATGGAGTTCTGGGCTCTTGGCTTCAGCCTGGCCAAGTATCAGTCTTTATACTCATTTGGGGAATGAATCAGTATATGAAAAATCTTTATTTCCATCTATTTGTAATATTGCCTTTCAAATAAATCACTGATAGAGAATCATTTTAAATATTAAATGTGACACATTGAAAAAATTCTTCAGGACCTGGTGTGACGGTTCAGTGGCTAAATCTTCGCCTTGTAAGTGCTGGCATCCTATCTGGGAACTGGTTAGTGTCCCAGCTGCTCCACTTCCCTTCTAGCTCCCTGCTTGTGGCCTGGGAAAATGGTAGAGGATGTCCTAAAGCTTTGGGATCCTGCACCCACGTAGGAAAAATGGAAGAAGTTCCTGGCTCCTGATTGGCTCAGCTCTGGCCGTTGTGGCTACATAGGGCTTGAACCAGCAGACCGAATCTATCTCTGCTTCTTTCTGCAAGTCTTTGTTAAAAATTTTGAAACAAAAATTCTTCAGAGGAATAATATTCTCCACTGGAGGTGCAGGAGTTCTTTCTTTAGCACAGTATCAGACTTTATATTAAGGATCATTTATTTTGAAAAGAGTTATGGGATGGGAGTGGGGAGGACAGACATAGAAATCTTCTATCTGTTCGCTCACTCTCCAGAGGATCAAGACAGCCAGTGCTGGGCAAGGCCAAAGGGAAGATAAGCCACAGTTTTATCCAGGTCTCCCGTGGTTTACAGGAGGTACAAACCGAGGGACCTTCTGCCGCCTGCTTTTCTCAGGCCACTGGAAGGAAGCTGGATCACAAATGGAGCAGCTGAATACAAACTGTTCCACTTATAAGCCTTCCTAGTTTCTCAATAAGCAAAGTTGATAACCTGAGTAACCATATGTATGATTTACAATTATGTACTGTTATAAGTACAAGCAAACAAACTGTAGGATCAGAATAGCATTCATAATCCTCTGTTATATATACATATAAATCTATAACTCCACTAACTGCAGCACCAAGTCTGTTCAAAGTTTCC